TTTCCCTACCGCCTTTTCCCTAGGAATGGATTTCACCTCTGTCCTTGTCTCCCATCCAGACATCACTTGATCACATCATCTTCTTGGCCCTCAAGACCTTGTCTTATCTCTCCTGGCACATCTGAGCTTCTTCATTTGACTTGAGCTACTTGTTTCTTCCTTCTCTTTTTTTGAGCGCCTTTTTCTTACATTCAGGTCCCATCCTGAGCAGCTGATTAAATAGAATTTACCACAATGCTCCAAGCCTACCAGCCAGGGAAATCAGTGTTATAGTTTTATTTATTTATTTATTTATTTATTTATTTATTTATTTATTTATTTTGGAGAGGTTTTTTCGCTATAGGGCGCGTGCGCTCGCCAGACAGAGAGAGACATAGAGACAGAAAGCGAGAAATCAACCCCCAGGGGGGTTGGTCACGCCGCAGTCCCTTCTCCTCCATTCTCCTCTCGGGATCTTGGGCATGCACGCACACGCGCCCAATGTGAGTTTTAAGCCACCGGGTCCGGGACGTGAAACGTGGTCAACTACGTGGGAGTCCAGAGACAGCCATTATGCTAACTACTGGTTCCCAGTCTTATAGTTTTGAAAGATACTTTCCTGTAGGTATTTTGAAGAAAGTGTCTGTGACTACAATTAGACTTTATAGTGTTCTTTTGGAAACAGGTTTCAAAAATATCCTCTTTCCTCTAGCTTTCCTCTCAAACCCACATCTCTATATAACATAACACTTCTATAAACTGAAGTGAAACAACACCTAGAAAATGAAGAGACAGCTGAAAGCACAGAAAAACCTGCTGATTTTGAAATACGCCCAATACAAAGTAGAAATGAGGATTTTAAGAATTTGTTTAGAAGGATTTATGAATAAGGATAACATGAGAGGCCACTAGGTGGTGTGGTGGCTGAGGCACTGGATTCCTACATGACTGACTATTTGAATTCTGGATCTTATGGCTTGAAATTCATGCTGGGCATGTAAGTGTGTGTGTGTGTGTGTGTGTGTGTGTGTGTGTGTGTGTGGTGTGTGTCTGTACAAAATCCCAGGAGGAGAAAGGATTATGGCATAGTCATCCCCTCAGAAGATGATTTCTCACTTTTTCTTTTGTGTATCTATCTGTCTGTAGTACATGTGCTTTATGGCACAAACCTTAAAAAAAATCAAAAGCCATCAGCTAGAGTCCATGGACTCAATAATTAAGATAAAAGGGATATAATCTTAGAAGAAAAAGAATTGTTGAATTAATTTTGACTCAGCCTTTTTTATTTTTTTATTTTATTATTTTGCTTTTTTTTTCTTATTGAAGGTATTATAAACACTTAAGATTTTGTATAGGTGGGAGGTACTGGGGAAACAATCATGAAACTAACAAGTTAATATTGTTTATTTGGACTCTTCATAATTAGAAAAAGTCCGTTGAAGTTACAGAGTCAAAATATCATTTATATATTACATAATTTTGAATGACTGGCCACATTTCAAAATCTATCTTCAGATGATACAATTATAACAACTTTTGGCTTGGCAAATTAGGATACAATGTAGTATTACTAGTATGATTAATTCAGTTAAATTCAGCCTCTACACTGAAGAGATTGAATTGAAACCTGGCCCATGTGGCCTCAACCCTCTTGAGTAGCAGCATCCATGAGTATCTGATGCTGACGCTGGGTCCATTTCACTCAATTTTGGTTACATTTATATAAGCAGTATACATTTGTCAAATGACATTGAGTTTATTATTTATAGTTTAATAAACAGAAAATAGGGGCTAGCAGGTGGAGTGATAGTTAAGGTTTTGGGCTCTCACATGGCTAACTGTGATTTGAATCATGTACTCAGTGGGTTGAAACTCATGCCAGGCACATGTACATTATATGCCCAATATTCCAGGAGGAGAATAGAGGAGAAAGGATTGTGATATGGATATCCGCCAGGGATGAATTTTTTATTTTACCGCTCAGTGTTTGTCTCTCTTGATGGTACATGTGCTCTATGCCAAACAGAAAAACAAAACAGAACAGAACATAGTCATTGAGAAATAGAATAAAAATAGTCACTGATCCTTATCTCTCTCGCTCTCATTGGGTCTGACATCTACCTGCTGAAGATTAGTTTCTGTTTCTGTTTGTCCACCTGATAATTTGATAATTCTACAGGTGCTCAGACGAATGCTAATGAGGTTAGAAGCCATTGGATGAGAAGTGATCATAGTATAGAAACCAAGAGTACAGCCATGGTTTTCTTTCTAATACAAAAAGAGGGAACCAGCAGTTAGCATAATGGCTATGTCGCTGGACTCCCATGTAGTCGACCGCAGTTTGCGTCCCGGACCCGGTGGCTTGGGACTCACGCCGGGCACGTGTGCGTGCGTGCCCAAGACCCCGAGAGGAGAATGGAGGAGAAGGGATTGCGGCATGACCATCCCCTCTGGGGGGTGTTTTCTCGCTTTCTGTCTCTATGTCTGTCTCTGTCTGTCTGGCGAGCGCACACACCCTATAGCAAAAACTTCTCCAATAAAAAAGAAAAGTGAAATGTTCAAAGTTGGTTGAAAGTTAATGTTTTGCTTTATAGTATTTAGTGCTTAGCCTGATGCCTATAGGATCTATTTATTCTCGTTCCAGGTATTTAGAAGAATACCACGATGAATTCTTCCCAGAATCAGCCTACATTCCTGCCTGTGAGGCTCTCTACAGCACCAAAAACCCCAGGACAATTTATTAAAGTTGTGTTGCCTGTGTAAGAACAGGTTTTCCTGTCTAGCTTTACACTCTGTGTTCCAGATGAAAAAAATAGCAAGGTGGTATGCCTTCTTGACAGAGAGCACAAACAAGACACTGCATGGGGAATCCGGCAGAGCCAGGCCCTGCAATCTGAGTTTATTCTGTTACATTTTTTCAGAGGTGCCTGCCTATGCCCTGACATGACGCTTGACACTGCAAAGGCTGCCTAGGATGGCAAGAAAAGAGCAGCTTGGTTCACAATCAGCGTTCATGAATAGACACAGACGATGCTGTTTTAATAGGCATTCCAGTTAGTTCTTAATGAAAACCACATTAATTAGTTACTTGTTAGCATTTAATGTAGTGTCTTGCAGGATGTTATCATTCTTGTGCTGAGGTTAATTAACTGTCCAGCAAATTCTAGTTCATAGTTGGAAACTGCAACTTGTCTTGAGTATTTTAGGGAGAATGAATATTGATGGGAAAAAGAAATTGCAGGTGTACATTTGCTTGTATTGGTTCCCTGTCTGTGAAACGTTATTTTTGGTGATCTAAATAAAGCATTCCTTCTCTTGTTTCAAATTTTTACTTTGTTGAATAATGTTATGATGCTATTTATGTAAAGCATTACTTTAAATCACTATACATCTTTACAGTATACAACATCGTTGTTCACAGCACAGATAACAGTGACTATCGGTCAAGACCAAGACATTACCATATACATTATCATCAGCAAATAACTTCATTTTTATGGTAATTAAATGAAATATTTGTTTTGTTCACTGTTCCTTTCCCTCCATACCCTTAACTGCCACCCTATAACCTCCCTGCTCCTTACTATGCCCTTTACTATGTCAGGTATCTTCAGTTGCCCCCTCCCTGCTATTAGACCTTCCCATCTTCCAGTTTTTGCTATGGAGTGCAGTATACATTCAGTATACATTGGGGGAACATACAAAGTCTATTTTTCATAGTCGAGCTCACTTCACTTAGCGTTAAATCTTCCATAGTCATCCATTTTGTGTGAAATGTCAGAGTCCATAGAGCACATAATCCATAGGGTGCATAAGCCACATTTTTATAATCCATGTGTCTGTATTTGGACATTTGGGCTGACTCTATATCTTAGGAATTATAAATAATGCTGCAATAAACATGGATGTGCAAGTGTTTTCCTTACTGAAGGTTTTCTTTCTCTTGTTTGGGGAAATGTGTCTCTCTGATGAACAAAAGAGTCACCTGAAGCAAACACAGAAGACTACTTGAGACACACAGATCTGAGTCAAGAAGGAAAGGGAGAGGCCATACCAGGGATGCACCTGCTATGCCTCTCACCCACCTAATTAGGACAAAACAAGAAAGAAAGTAAGTTTTATTTAGAGAAAGTACTTCTTAGAGGATTAGAAAGATGAGGGTAATTCCTGGAATGGGATGGTTTCAGAATTGTTAGAGTATGTCTAAATGAAACCAGAAGATGGATACCACACCTTGGAATTTGGAGAACACATTCATCAGGTAACACACTTGTGTGATTATCAAGCTGGAAGGTAAGAGGTCAGGCATTTTTGCCACTTTGCTGCAGTCAGGCATTTATCATTCCAGCATGTTCCAGAAGCATGGAGTTTCTTCTGTTTACCACAAGATAGAATTACTGGGTTGTATGGTAGTTTTGTTGGATTTTTTGAAAAGTCATGAAACATTTCTGCATAGAAAAACAAAGATGATGACTTGACTTTTCAAACAGTCCAGTATTTGTGGATTTCCAAAAAAGCTCCATATTGTACTCCACAGAGATTGTACTAATTTACATGCTCACTAGCAGTGTAGAAAATTTTCGTTTTCACTACAGCCTTGCCAGCATTTATCACTCTTTACTTTTTTAGTTTTAGTTAATCTGACTGGGGTTAACTACTATCTAATTGTGGTTTTGATTTGCATTTCCCTTATGAAAGGAGATGTTGAGTCTTTTTCATATACTTTCTGCCACATATCCGTGAAGAGTTGTCCAGTTAGCTCCTTTTCCCATCTTTTGGATCGATTGTTTTTTTTCATAGTAAGTTGTATCCTGATGATCACTTTCTTACCCTCTAAAAAGTTCTCCCGCTTTGAGGGTTGTCTGCTCACTCTGTTTGTATTGGCATGCTGAAGTTTTGGAACCTAACGTAGACCCATTTCTCTATCTTTGAACTATTGTCTGTGCTTTGAAGGAGGTTCATTAAGTCTTTGACAGTACCAAAAAGTGGTGTGTTTAAGGTGCTGGACTCCCATATAGCAAACCACAGTTTGAGTCTCAGGTTCAGTGCCTCAATTTCTCATTTAATCTCTTACTTTTGTTTTCTTTCTCAAGTGCACCTGCCCTGTAGCAAAAATAAAACTAAATAAAGTTAAAAAAAATAATTCTTTTAAAAAGTCTTTGCCTATTTTATTTTCTGTTGGCTTGCTTTTTCTTTTTCTTTTTATGTAATTATATTTTTAACTTTATTTATTTTAATTTTGATATTACCTTTAATCACAGGTATCTTTACAGTGTATTATATTTCTTTTCCCATGCATATTAGTCAAGATAAAGACATTACTATACACATCATCATCATCAAATAGCTTTTCATCATTTTTTAGATCATTATTATTGTTTATTCTCTCTCTCTCTCTCTCTCTCTGTCTCTCTCTCTCTTTTGTTTGGAGAGGCTTTTGCTGTAGGGCATGTGCCTTTGCCAGAAAGAGACAGAAAGTAATAAAATACCCCTCAGGGGGACGGCAATGCCACAGTCCCTTCTCCATTCTCTTCTTGGGATCTTGGACATGCATGCACACATGCCCTTGTGTGAGTTTAAGCCACCGGGTCCAGGACTTCAACGGCAGTCAACTATATGGGAGTATAGCAACATTGCCATTATGCAAACTGCTGGTCCTCCTTTTTTTTTTTTTTTTTTTTTTTTTTTTTAGACAACCACTATATATCATTTGGCTTGTAAAGATAATTTACGCAACATGAAATACTTCTCAAACCAGTCCAATTGAGAATACTATATGGTTATCATCAACATATAATAAGCAATTTCTGTGTCCCACTAATATGCCTATTTGTTCTTTTGCTATACTCCCCTGTACTCTTCCCTTCTCTGCCCCTCCCATCCCACAGTCTTCAGCATCTATAACTCTTACTGCTTTTATTCCCTCCAATATTTCAACCTCTACCATAAAGTGTGAATAGCCTATATTTAGGTGGGTACGTGCAATATCTATCTTTCATATCTTGTCTTGCTTCACTCAGCAGTAGATCCTCCATATTAGAACACCTTCTATCAAATGCCAGGGTCTTTTTCTTTTTCTCTTTTTTTCTTTTCAGGTTTTTGCTATAGGGCACGTGCACTCACCAGGATGACAGAGAGAGAGAGACAGAAAGCGAGAAATCACCCTCCTCCCCCACGCGGGATGACCACACTGCAATCCCTTCTCCTCCATTCTCCTCTTGGTATCTTGGGTATGCACACACACGTGCCTGGCATGAGTTTTAAGCCACCAGGTCCATGATTTGAACCATTGTCGACTACATGGGAATCCAGTGACATAGTCGTTATGCCAACTGCTGGTTCCTGGAACTTCTTACTGCAATCTAATTCCACTTGTTCATTCTGGAGATTTCTGCCTGTGCTTTCAGCGTTTTATTTATGAATTCTTTGCCTACCCCCGTGTCTCCCAGAGTTGCCCATCTGCAGTTTTATAGTTTGAGGTCTTAGGTTTAAACCTTTGATCCACTTACAATTAATCATTGTCAATGGTGAGTTAGTGGTCCACATTTCTCTTTCTGCAAGTGGGCACCCAGTCTTCCCAGCAACAGCAGCATTTGCTAAAGAATATTTACTCTTCTCACTGGATTGACTAGCTATCCCTTATCAAACATCAGTTAACTATATGTTTTGTCTGTTATGTCTGGAGTCTCTGTTCCAATGGTCATCCTATCTGTTTATGTGGCAATACCATGTTGTTTTGATTATCACAGCTTTGTAATGTATTTTGGGGTCATGGTGTGAGATGTCACTTATTCAGCTTTTGTACAGGATTGGATTGGCAATACAGGGTCTTTAAGAGTCCAGAGAAATTCTATGTCTTTCCCAAATCTGAGAAGACTGTCACTGGTTATTGTGTGAGTAATGACCATTCTATGCCAATTTTCCTGAGCCTTAATTATAATTAATATTGCATTAATAATGTAGATTAATGTGTGTAGAATTGCCATTTTGATTATATTAATTCTTCTCATCAAGGAACATGGGCCATCCTTCCAATTTTATATGTCATTTTTGTTATCCTTTTGTGGCTATTCATAGTTTTCTTTGTAAAGGTTTTTTTACTTCTTTGCTTATATTTATTTCACAAAGTATCATATCTTTTGTGGCTATGTTAAATGGGATTACTTTCTTCAGGTCTACCTCAGTCTGCTTATTATTTGTATATAGAAATGTTGTATGTATGTTGATTTTTTTATTCTGACACTCCAATGTATTCAATTGTTATTTTCAATAGTTTGTGTGTGTTTCTGTGTGTGTGTCTGTGTGTGTGTGTGTGTGTGTGTGTGTGTGTACCCTTGGCTCTTCTATGTAAACAATCTTCAAATAAAGATAAATTTACCTCTTCTTATATTTGAATGCCTTTTATCTTATTACCTTTTCTGATTGCAATGACCAGGACTTCCAGTACTATACCAAAAAAAAAATATTGAAAGTAGACACCCTTGCCTTGTACCAATTTTTAGTAGAAACGTTCTCTGCTTTTCCTCATTCAAAATTATGTTAGGGGGTTTTCCGAAATAACTTTTATTGTGTGAGTAATGACCATTCTATGCCAATTTTCCTGAGCCTTAATTATGCAGGGATGTTATATTTTTTCAAATGCTTCCTCTACATCAATTCATATGATCATATGTTGTTTGTTTTTCTATCTGTTTATTGTATATTGTCCCGACCCGGGTGGACAGCCGAACGGGTTTCCTGAGTGAAGGAGTGAGAGCCGGGGCAAGCAGCGTAGTGTTACAGCACGGAGACGACAGTGTCGTCTGTTTATTGTGGGCAGCACGGTATAGCACAGAGACGACGCAGTGTCACAGCTCTTCAGGGTCGTCCGGAGACGATGTAGTGTTACAGCTCTTCAGGGTCTCCCAGTTCGTCTGGAGACGATGCAGTGTCAGCTCTTCAGGATCTTCAGGGTCGTCTGGAGACTGCGCGGTGTTTCAGCTCTTCAGGCTCTTCAGTTGTCGTCTTCCTGGTCGTCGTCGTCTCGGTCGTCTGTGTCGTATTCTCGGTCGTCTGTGGGCCAGGCATCGTGGTTATATACACTCTGGTGGGTTGTAAACGGTGGGTCGTGATTGGTTGTTAACAGTGGGTTATGATTGGTTGCTTTTGGACCAATCATGAGGTGCCGGATATGCAAATTTGAGGGATTCTAGTCGCCAATCAGAGCAAGGTTTTGAAGGTCAGGTTTTTGGAAGGGAACCAATCATGG